TCCGTTATTTTTAGTCCACTACCTTACTTCATCTTATAGTTGTAGTCTAGCTTTATTACAGAGTCATAAGAAGAAGCATTGTTTACCTCTCTTCCATACAAATTCTGTTCTGTAGTAGACATTGTATTTTTCTGTCTCTTGATTCTTTCATTTTTAAGGTACATTCTCTAGCAATCTTTTTTTAATACAAAGTACATGGAAAAAATAGCCTAGAATCCTGAGGATTGGAAGACAACTGTGTTGTACTTTCACACTTGTTTTGTATATTGGCTGGCCATAAAGTTTTGGTTGGATATCTTTTCTCTCAGATTCTGGAATTTGACAAGTTTTGAAGTCCAATGGCCTTCTAAGTTCCAAGTTGCTATTGAGGAATATAATATTTCTATCTTTCTAAAATTGCTTACCATGTACCTTTACCTTCTTTCCATCTTCAAAATAGGTGTTAAATTCATCTCTACTCCTTTTTTATAATTAATTTTATTGAGAAACAAATACCAAAATGAGACAGTTTCAAAACAAGCTAGTAGGACAGTTACAATAATTAATACATTGCATACTGTTGTCCTCATAGTAGTTATTCATAGTACAAGATGCAGACATGATATCCTGTCCAAACATTTTTATTACAAATGGACTACTGGACTATATTGGATTATTTTGCTGAATTCACATGCCTACAATATTTAAATGGCAGTGTAATAAACATCTCTGACAAAACTAAACAAAAAAGGGGGATATAAATAAAGGACCATTTTGTATCTGTATATATAAAATAGTTAGGATAGATATACAGCTACTTTCTCTTATTTCTACTCTAGCTACCCCTCTAAGTAATCTTGATCCTTGGAGTTTATACCATTTTAAAAATTCTTTATCTGTGATTTTTGTGGGGTTGTAGTATGAGTAAATGGCAAATGTTTGTCATTAGTCTACCACTGTTTTTTCAAGCATTATCAAAAATTTAAACCTGTGTAAATATTTTTTGCAAATGAGGACAGTCTTCACTTTACCATGGTTCAATTTATTTCTTTTATTTTATGATGGTTCAAAATCCATATATATTTAGTCGAAACTGTGCTTCAAGTTGTTATATTTTTCAATGCTAAACATATACTGTGCAATACTATCTTCTGATGCTAAACAGCAACAATGAACTGCAACTCCTAGTAAGCAACATGGTCATGAAAGCAAATAACCCATACTCTAAGTACATTGGACACACCTCTGTTTTAATAAAAATATTTTTAAAAGTTTTATTGGGCTGGTGAGATAGCTCAGCAGACGTAAGCGCCTTTTTAGATAAGCACAGGGACCGGGATTTGATACCCAGCACCACATGCCATGCTGTCCCCGCCCCCAGGCACACTAAGCTGGCCACTGAGACCAGACCTGGTAGCACATGCCTGTAATCCCAACACTGGGGAGCTGAAAACAGGAGGATCACTACAAGTCCAAGGTGCATAGTGAGACCTTGTACCAAATACATTGAAAAAATAAAGAAATAAGTGAGTTTTATTGCCTATATACATTAACTATAGATAGATGATAGATAGATAGATAGATAGATAGATAGATAGATAGATAGATAGATAGATCTTTTATATGTGGCCAAAGACAATTCCTGTTCACTCAGTGTTGCCCCAGCAATCCAGGCATGTCCAAATTACAAGCATATCTCTAAGGCATATTGAGCCTCTAAGCTATAATATGATGTAGGTTAAATGCATTAAAGGAATTTTTTGTTCTGAGATACACTCCCAACCTCCTCCCTGCCCCCAACCCCTTTGAGAAACTCTGTCTTGCTGAGTTGCCTAGGAGACCTGGGCAGAAGATCCGCCACCCCAGCTTCTTGAACAGCTGTGATTACATCCATACACTACCACACCCAACTTAAATTCAGTTTAATTTACAATATTTTCCATTTATGAATGTATCATAACATAACCATTCCATAAGTTAAGGAGCATCTATATTATGACATCATTCTAGTAGCAAACCTGACAGTTGTAGACTAGTCCCATTCATGATGAGACTGCAAGAATCTTAATAGTTTCCTTAAATTTAAACAGACAGCTTACAGAGATATATTCAAATTTAAAACTAAGGCTTACCCTCTACCCAAACTTAAGGGACACATACAGCCCATATCCATGGTGGAAACCACAGGTAATAAACAGCCTCAGATGGTGCTTTGCTATATCTCCCTACAGTACACTAATACTACTGCTGTAATGAGAATCATTCTTTTGAACTGTTCTCCAAACTTCAAAGTGTAAGTTCCCTCTTCAATCACTTTTGTAATTTCACAATTGAAAGTGGAACATCTAAAACCAAACAACTGCCAGTGGTCTGACTCATACAAAATAGTGGAGTATATGAAAGCATCCAAGGAAAGCTAAAATAATCATATTCAGATCTGAAGGAAAATATGCCTTAGTATATAATTACGTTATTTGAGAGTCCAGGACACAATGAATCAACTACTTCTTTAAAGTTTTTACCTACCTTCCCACGTAAGGCACAAACAGCATTCTCTAATTTGAAAATGAAAAATGAGTCACTGCACTGCGTGTCTAGGGCTGCGAAAGCACAGCAGTCTTTCAGCTAAGTGGTATTTCTCAAAAAGAAAAAGGAACTTTCCAGTGAGCATTTGTGAACAGACATACACTCCCAACAGTTTATCCCGTGTTTATCTGTCACTTTAGCCATCTGTCTGTGGTTGTAACAGCAGATCTATTCTGTGTTTAGTAATGGCTTCTTGAAAAGCACATCAGGTAATACCTCCTCCTGAGAGGTTTCTAGCTCTTTACCCACTCAAGGGTTTTCCCATTGAGTTTTCCAAATGAACTTCAGGTTCTGTACTTCCTTATTTTATTATGTAATTAGGCCCCCACTTCATTTTTTTTCTAGTTTATTTTAGTACTGTTTTATACACTATTTTATTACATGTTTTATACATGTTTACAGTATGTCATTATGGTACTTAACTGTTTGTACATGTACATAACACAGCTTAATGCTTTCTGTGCTCTTCTCTTCCCATTCCTCCCTACTCCTTCCAACTCTTAATCTCCTTCCCACTTGAAAAAGCTCCATTTCTATTTTTTATTCAATTTCCTTTTTTTATCCTTTTCCCCTCCCTCCCCATCTCTTATTCCTCTCTCCATTCGAAAAAGATTTCCCAATTACCTATTATGTACTTTGCTTTTTATTTATATTTTGGATTTTGTTTCAGTAGTTTAAATAATCCAAATCAAAGAGAGAAAATATTTGGGTCAAGCAGTGAAAGAGTGAAGTTAGGCAGTGACTCCGCTTACCTGGGGCAAAGCATTCTATCACCTGGACTCTCGGGCTTCTCATCTTCAAAATTAAATAACACATGTAGATCTTCATGTCCTTTTTCAACTTTTGAATGCTGTTTAAAGAGTGTTACACTATTGATGGATCTGTTTCAATGAATTATCTCAAACTAGTCATTACTGCCTCACTGCATATCTGGCTGTAAAACATTCTGCTCATTAATTTACTTAATCTGTATTTCTTGGGCATCATACTCAGAGCAAAGAACGCAGCAGTAAATAAATAGACACAGGCATTGGCCCCACTAAGTGCACAATGCAGAGAGAAAGGAAGGGAAAAGCAAGCTTTTAAATAATTATGATCAACATTAAAAGTAAACGATAATCTCAGAGTGCTGTGAGAAAGAGTAATAGGAAGATAATTCAGACATGGGAAGGAAATATTTTAGGAAAGCTTTACTGAAGAAGTGGTAAGAGATACAAGGGATGAAAGGTTGTAAGTGATGTGAAGAATGACTAAAAACAGTATTCCAGCCACCCAGAGCAGGATGTGTAATGGTCCTAAGGCACTCTAGAGCTTGTGCTTTCAGGAAGTGAAAGGAGTTCAACAAAGTCTAGTGAAGAAGAGGGTGTGGCCTGAGAGAAAGTTAATGTGGACTACCACCAAATTATGCTGTGCCGGGGCCGGGGAGATGGCTCAATAGACTAAGCGCTTCCCTGGCAAGAGCAAGGGCATGAGTTCAATCCCCAGTTCTGCAAAAAAAAAAAAAAAAAGAACTGTGGTTTGGGCCGGGGAGATGGCTCAGTAGAAAAAGCGCTTGCCTGACAAGCGCAACAGCCTGAGTTCAATCCCCGGTTCCGCAAAAAATAAATAAATAAAATTCAAAAAAAAAAAAATTATGCTGTGCCTTATTGCCATGAGGAACACGTTTTTATGATATCTAATAGACAGAAAATGCTGAACAATGTTGAAGCAAGAGAAAGAAGCCATTCAATTACATTTTAAGAGATTCAGCTGGCCGCTGGGTAAATAAAAATGGGTAGAAAAAGATGAAGGGATGAGGGCAGCTAAGACAAGGAATCAGTGGTAGAAAGAAAACAGGTGGAATTTACATTTAATCTTGAAATGTCCTCATTCTGGGTCTTTAGTTGGCTGTGATATTTGGAAGAGTAGCTGTGGCCTTGTGTGTCCCTATATTCTTGTACCAGCGCTCCAGAGACTAAATTGTTGGACTCCCCTTGCCTGTCCAGGTGGTCTCTGTGGGCAGCCTTCTATATAAGTCCACCTTATCCATCATTTCCTTGAGCTTGTTCAAGAATTCAGATGCTGTGAAAGGAAGAGGGGTAGTTGTTGGTGAAGTGTTAGGACCAGCATGACTCAGCAAGGCACAGAGAAACAGAAATAATAACCTATATGAATAGTAAGGAAAGTGGATTCTGTGATGAACAAAGAAAGCAAAGATGGTTTGGGTTTCTGGTGTTATGAATAGGAAAGAAAGGAAGAGAATCCAGGTCTGACACAGGAGGCAGAAAAATGTGAAAGAGTGAAAGACAAACAGCCATAATACATTTTTCCATTTTGGAAGCTTCATGAAAAAGTCACAGGAAGGAATTGTCTGGCTATAGCAATGACATTTTTTTTCAGTGATTTCAAGAAAGGGCAGGCTGCATCTTAACCAAAGTTTGCCCTGTGCCCTACAGGAACAAATGCTAAGCATGGACTACGCTGCAAAGCCTGTAAGATGAGCATCCACCACAAGTGTACAGATGGCCTAGCACCCCAGCGATGCATGGGCAAGCTGGTAAGAGCTTACATGAAGAGGGAGCACTAGAACTCACTGCTTGAATGAAGTTACTTCCTCCAATTTCAGCTATAACCTTGAAGGCACCCATAATCCCTGGTCTACCCACTTGGCTTCCTGATTGGCATAATGATAGGGTCAAGGAGGACCTATATCAGTCCTAGAGATAAATGGCCCACATTGGAAAAGTGTCAGGTCCTTAAGAGAAATGAACAGCTTCTTCCATATTGGAACTTTCTCAATTTTAGCACAGTGCTTCATCCTGGGGCTGCCCATGTTCATGAAGTGAAATTCATACCTCCCAAGAATGCCCTTAGCCTCAACTAAACTAGATTGATTTGCCATCCAGTACTTAATTTGTTGTCAGTTCAGGGAGTGGCCCACGAGAGGACTGTAGCTAACACCTACAACAGAAAACAGAGGAATAAAAGTTTATACCACCTTAATGGTAATATTGGCAAACTAAGGGAAATTGGGATTACTTTGGCACATTCTGGGCTGATCCTAGTCTCTCAGGAGCATGGATTTCAGTCCTTTTGCCACACATTTTGATCAAAAGAAATTCAGAGCACAGTACAGGGTATTTGTAATTGAGATGGCCAAAGAGTTGTACCTAGAATGTCTACTCTACAGAATAATTAGATGGAACGTAACAATGGTCTTTGAAAATGCAAGACCAATCACATAGAAAGGAAATTCAATTGTCTTTTTTAGCTGTAGGCAAAAAACTAAAATGAGCAGGTGCCTGCCAATTCTTAACACTCAGAGACAGTCACTGATTATCTGTTCTAGAGTTAAGTAGTGCCCCTATCCCTCACTCAGATACAAATACCACCCTCCCATCCCTACTGATAATGTCCAAACAAATGAGGACACAGGTACTGGAAACACTGGAGAAGATTCTAAGATTCTACTATAAACCAGGCCATCAAGTTCCCTTCCAGCACTAGGATATATGAGTCCAGATTCTTAGAAATTTCATCTCCTTACTCTAACTTGTATCATCCTCTGATCTCAAACTCTTGCTTCACCTGTTCCCCATCTCCTTCTCTGACAGTGATTCTCAAAGGTCATGGCAGAGACCATGGGTAAAAGGTCAGATAAACAGTATCTGAAAAGCAAAACAAATGATTCTGGGTCAAGCCCGAGGTCTATTTTAGGCCTACCCTGAGTGAGGTCTGCTTTCCCATGGCCAGGCCTAGTATCATCTTAACAGTAAACTATGGAGAAAGAATGCAAGAGAGATAGCCTGGGAGATAATAATGGAGATCCTGCATAGAATAGAAGCTGTGGAGCACAGCGGGGTCAGAGAAACTAGGCAGGGTCTGGAGCTTGCTTTCTGGATGGAGCATAATGTGTTTAATGCCATCTATTAGCCTTCCCCATTCTTGTCAGTAGTGCATTATAGAATTGATAGCATGTCAGTATCTTACAGGAAGAAACTAGTTAGATTAACGTCAGGATCTTTATGTACCTTTTTCATCTCCTTGATGATAATAAGCCCCTTCTCTTTCTCATTCTCTTACCAGCCAAAGGGGTTTCGGCGCTACTACAGTTCCCCCTTGCTCATTCATGAACAATTTGGATGCATTAAAGAAGTTATGCCCATTGGTGAGTTGGAATATTAATGATTGAGTTGGGTTTTGAACAGCAAAGTCAGCCACAACTACAGGCCTCTAAAGACTACAAAACCAAAAGGATGTCTTGGTGCATTTGTTCTTGGCTATGTGGATTATAATTGTTTGCCGGACAGGAAACATAAGGTGGGCCAGTTCTCCAAGACATTTCAACTTCTCTCTGATGAAACTTGAAATATACCCAAGACTCAAAGGCATCTGATATACTTTGCCATCCATGTGCAGCAGAGTAGAAAAAGCATGAAACATGGCAGCCCACAGATGTGGTTCAGAGTCCAGCACTCCCACTGACCAACTGTGGATTTGAACAGGGAACTCAACCTGTCAGATACCATAAATGAGAACTCAGTGGATGGTCTTCATAATTGTTGTAAAAAAATAAATATATGTTATAAATCAATGCTGTGTAGGAACTCAATGAATATTGATTATTCTTTAATAAGGACCTAAAAATGCCCTACATTTATAGATGTCTGACTTAATTTCTTCCTTTCGAGTATTTTTCAGTTTGCTTTAACCTTTTATCTTTCTCTGTAGCTCTCTACATCTAGTTTTGCCTTTTTAGTGGAACAGAATTTAAACAAGAGATTTATATGCTAGAAAACTTTTAGTTAAATATTTATGGGGCCTGGTAACTTCAAATTCTTTTGAAAACACTTGCCATCTTATGAATTTGATGCCTCAAGACTTTGTGCCTTGGTCCACAGAGCCTCTCACCAGAGCTCTCTTTGATAAGAACCTTAAAATGGGAATTCTGCAGATAGCTAACTTAGAAATATCAGAGCACAGAACCCATTTCTCAGGTTGTGGTCAGTGTTTGGCTGCGTTCTATCAGATGCAATTTCTCAGATGGTCCTTCTCTTCTGTTGCAGCCTGTGGCAATAAAGTGGACCCTGTCTATGAGGCGCTCCGTTTTGGTACCTCCTTGGCCCAGAGAACAAAGAAAGGAAGCTCTGGCAGTGGCTCTGATTCACCTCACAGAACCTCGGTAATTATCCTCTTCCTCGTTCCAGTCAGACAAGGTGTCTTGGGCAGGTCCAGCCTCTGACCCTGCAATGTGAAGGATTCCACCGATATGTGTCCAAAAGACAGGTCTTTGGGAATCAAACAACCCCCAAAGGGAAAGTGTTTTACACCACAAAGAATTAAACTTTCTGTTGTCAGCATCCAAGAACGTCTTACTTTCCTGCTCAGAGACCCTTTTCTTGCCCTCATGGTTCTTGTGATAGGCCTGCTCTCCTTCAGCCTCCTTTCAGTATTGGATAGCACATCAGTTGACACATAGAATGCACTTGGCTCTAACAATGGACAGAAGCAGCCATCCTAGATGTTTCCCTTTCTCCTTTCAGTTATACCCCATTTCTCTAATTTCTCAGAGCTTTCTATGTAAGATAAGATTCACCACTTCATTACACTGGTGCCTGACCAGTGATTCAGTTTCTCTCCAAGGACACTCACCCTCCCAAACACCTTTCCTAAATTTTATCTGATCTATACTCTACCATACATCTCTGTGACTTGTTATAATCCTATCTCTGGTTATCCTATTCAGAAATTCTATCATGCTTCAAGATGCAGTACAACCCTGCCACCTTCCCTGAAAGCCAACATCCCTACTGTAAAGAGCCAAGGGCATTCCAGTTTACATTGTTGGTTAAGATATCCAGTCACTAGTTTGATTTCTACAACTCCTTCTGGACCAAGATCTTTCAGGCAAGACCTGGATGAGCCTCCACATGGTCCGCCACTCTAGGTCCTCTCAATATCAAGTGAAGAGGGGAGATGGTGGGAAGAGCAATAGCTTACTTCTCCCTCCCAAGGTTCCTTGGGGCTAAGTTGAAGCAGTTCCCTCACTAGTTGCAGATCAGTTAATGCAGTAGCATAAGACTAGGGTATTAATAGGAGCACAAGTCAGATAGGCAAGTAGGGAGATTCACAGGTCCCTGAGTCATGTCCGCAGTTATCTCAGAAGCCATATTCAAACTCATTGAAAGCTCTGTTTGTGAGACACTGCACTGATTTCTAAGAAAAAGCCAAATGATTGTATTGATTACTAGCATGTCCATAAATTGATGCCAATCATTTCTTCTTCTAGTCAATAAACATGAAGACACTTCATGCCCTCATATATCAAAACTTATTTCTGAAGGCCAAACAAATTGAGAAGATCATAATAGTGGCATTATGACACTTATTAAAAGTATGCTTTTATACTTATCCCATTTTATTTTAAAATGAACAAAATATATGTTTAAAATATTATAACTATGTCATGAATTCTGAAAGATTTCTTAAGATGAAAACTGTTTAGTTTCAATAAACTCTGCCTCAAAACAGTAGATATATAACAAGACATTTTATGATACCTGAATCCTAATGATGTCCTCAGAGACATTATTATCATTTGGTAGTCCAAAAGAAAATGTTAATTTGTTTGCTGAAAAAAATATCTTAGAAACGGTGCTAAATGTGATTTTTAAAATCTCTACAAAGTCACATGGATAGGATTTATATCAAAGTCATATTTCATATAGCAATCTTTCAATGAGTGATAGACCACAATATATCACAGTGATTCCTTAAGATTATAATACAACTCACTGTCCCTTTTCTATTTATATACATGAATATTCATCATGGTGCTACAGTTGCCTGCAATACTCAGTACAGTGACATATTGTACAGGTTCATAGCCTGGGAGCAATATGTTATGCCACATAGCCCAGGTTTGTAGTAGGCTGTGCCATCTGAGTTGTATAAGAACACTTTGTGATCTTCACACAGTGATGGAATGGCCTAACAATGGCCATATTAAATACTTTACAGTTATATGTGTAAGGTACTCAATATAACAATATACATAATTATAATGCCCACATAAAGTATATATTGTGTAATAATTATATAAAGTGTTTAATACAGGGCCTGGCATAATTTACAAGAATTTTTGATGCTTTGTTTCATTAGGTATCTGGGTCTCAGTTGAGCTTCCCTTAAACCTGAATTAGGAAGTTAAACAACGTCATTGATCCATAAGGCAAATATATCATTTGGAGCATTTCCAATTCCCAGAGCCACTCTTAACAGGGCCCATGTTGAGGGTTTATTGAAAGCTCCAGCTCACTCAAGGTTCTACTCTACTGTCCTGTGCAGCCTGCCTCCTCTTCTGACATAGCCTCCTTCAGTTGGGGCAACCCCAGGAGTGTAGTTTTGCTTGGTCTTCTTATTCAATGTGCTCCTCCTGGTTGATCTTCATATGGCTTTTGTCCAACATCCCTAAATTGATGAATCCCTTAGATATTCCTAGTCCTATTTTCTTCCCACCGACAAGATCAGTCTTACAGATACTGCAAAGTGAGCACAACTAACTACACTCATGCGTCTTTGGTGATAGGGTCCTACAATGCCGAAGTCAGAAATATGTATCCTAAGTGTCTTTCTTTTCTATCACCAATGCCAAACCTCATCATCTATCATTCAGATCATTATAAGGAAATATCTGTGCTACTCTCTTCCTTTTGAGTCTACTTTTAGTATCTCAAGTTTTGTCATCCTTTAAAGACTTTGTTCAATTTTCCTAACTAAAATTACACAGAAACACTTTGTTGAAAAGAAAATGTCCATAATTTCTGTATGGCATATGAAACCTGTTGCTACCCTAAAATCCTACCTTCCCCTAAACTAACCAAGCTCTTAAAAATCTCCATAATTTAGAACATGTTAATTCCTTCAGTTGAAATTCTTTAAGACATAATTTGAGCCAGGTGCGATGGCATATCCCAGAACTCTGGTAGGCTAAACTGTAGTATCCAAGTATTGACCCCAGCCTGAACAGCAGCATGGCCTGGTCTCAAAATAAAAACTAAAAAGTGGCAAGGTATGTATCTCCATACAAAGGCCTTTGATTCATTCCATCTCCAGTACTGAAGGAAAGAAAAGAACTAATTTGATTTTTACACAAACAATGAAGAATCCCTAGGCTCCTTTAAGCAAGGCTATTTTCACCTATCACAAGGCTTCAAGAGGTTCCTTCATCTAGGATGTGTATAATTGAATTTTAATTTACCCTGGACTAGGCTATACATCAAGGTCTCCTTCCCCACTTATCTCATTGATATCATGGCCTAACATTGTACTTGAGCCATAAAAAGCACTTGAAAAGTTCTTGGAAAATGAGAATTATTTAACAAGGAATTTTTAAGGACTAACCTCAGAACCCTCTGCCATCAACACAACACTTCACTCCCCAAACCCTGGACTCCTTTTCAGTTCTCTGGAAAGCCTGCTCTGTCCAGCTACCCACACGTGATCTCCAGCTCTCTACAGACACATCCCTCTGAGCTTTGTGCTTTGGATGGTGCTCTCTTCACCATCTTCTCTGCACCCAGTTGATGAATCCATAACTTACGTAGTGCTTAGTGGTTTTCACTTTTGTGTTTAATTTCACTTTTGTGTCTCTTCTCTAATTCCCCCTTGACTAGAGAAAGCTACTGAAATGCAAGGATTCTACTCACATTTTATTTCCATTACCTTATGATGGTGATTCTCAAACTTCACTGAGTTCCAGAATTCAGCGGAGAACATTATAACAATATAGATAGCCAGGGCTTGTCCAACGTCAGTGGTGCTGGGTTTCTGCGAGCTTTGTCAGCTGTTTGGGTGTCACCAATACCCCCCAAAATTTGAGAACCATTGGTCCATACAGCTGTATAGTCTGACTAAATATTTAGAGAAAGAATGAACACATGAACAACCTTCATCAGACCATCTAAATTCCCAAGTAGGACCTAAAGCTGAAAATGAATTGAATCAGCGGTTCTCAGTACATGATCAACTAATTAGCACATCATGTTAGAAGTATAGATTTAGGCTTCCCATTTAGATGTACAGAATATCTGATTTTGACAATCCAATAACTTCATTTTAATAAGTCCTCCATATGATTCTAAAGTACATAAAAGTTTGAGAAGTTGTAAGCTAAACTAAGGACTTATGTTTGCTTCCAAGGAAAGCAGGCCCAGTCAGCGTGCTGCTCTTTTTTTCTCATGTTCTTCTTTCCTTGCTCAAAACTGCCGTTGGCTCCTCTGTGCAATGCCCTGCAGTCACATATTTATGGTGGCCTATGAGCTGGATCTGATGTTAGAAATTCAAAAGGCAAACACAAATAAAACTGGCCAGAGCAATCTCTGTCCACTTTAGCTGCATTCTGAGCCACAATGTATATAATCTCTACATTATATTTCTTCTACTGCAGCAAGTACTCGTATGAGGCCAGCCTAAGCAAAGGGTAAATGAAAATTCAGAATTGAGAGGTAAGAGCAGAGGGGACTCTTCCCAGTTATTACCCTGAACTATTCACATAAGCAACAGGTGGTTCTTGCTGAACTTGCACCAAGGAGACGCTTTCAGACACATCCCACAGTAGGCAATGGACATTACAGCTACTACATTTTTGGCTAATGTTACTAAGAAGCAGCGAGACCATCAAAGAGACAATTAAGGGTACTCAGCTACTTTCTTCTTTAATGTAGCTTTGTTTCTAGTAATGTTTTGATCTTTTGGACTAATTTTAAGGAAAAAAATTTTAAAACCATAGCTTCTTTTTTTATGTGTTTAACACAGGATCTACAGAGTATACAGGGTCTCACTACAGAGATCAGACGTGGTGATTCTCCTGTTTTCAGCCTCTGAAGCACTGGGATTATAGGCATGCGCCACCACGCCCAGTCTCAATGGCTTTAGCTCACCCCAGGGGCAGGGACAGCAAGGCATACCTGGGTCACACCCTGGCAGCTGTGCTCTGCCTAAGCAGGTGCTTTAGTCTGCTGAGCTGTCTGGCCAGCTCAAAATCATGGTTTGTGAATGTCAGTAAGTTGTCATCTGTCACTGTCTAGTTGTGCTGGCATTGTTTCTATCAGTGAATATTTTTCAGAAGTTTGCTTAATAAAGCCATTGTTCTGAGAGCTTCAAAGAGACAAAAACAAATCAAACTGTGCTAAAACATCTGTCACTTTACTCTCCCCAAAGTCCAACTTGCCTCAATAGAAGAAAACAAAGACAATGGCTTGGTATGCTAAAATGATTTTGCCTGCTCCCTGCAGGGTCAAGTGATAATGAACTTCAGCCTCTTCCTATTCTTTAGCATTTTTATGCCTTAAAGCTAGCATCTTCCCACATAGCAAAGCATTATTCTGCAGGATTATTTTCTTTCAGGACTATACAGACATTTGTTTTACATTGTCGGGAAGTCACTGCTTGACTGTTTCCAAATCATTATGTTTTCTTTAATATCTTTTCAAATGTTCTTAGACTCTAAAAGACATGTGGCTTTGAAGAGGCCAGCAAAAACCAAATTAAAAAAAAAAAACATTTTGGGAGCTACTTGACTTGCTTATGAATAATCTTCAGTTTCATAAGACTAAATTAAATAAATGAAATTCTCTGAAGAGTAACTTTTGTGCAGAAATTATGAACTTCAAAGGGAGTGGGGTGTGAGTGACTAGGGACTATGTACTGCTGGTACTCTTATTGTTTTTTTCTTTCTGATGTGCCATGAAAGTAAAATTGAATGAAGAAAACTTAAACCAAATCTTTAACAAAAGTCCGACTTGGAGATTGGTGGGGAAGTGCTCCAGAGCTGACTAGGACAGCAGAAAAGAAAACTTGTTGCTCCCTCTCATAACATATCAATAGCTGTTTTCTTCAAACTTCATTTTTCTCCAAGGACCCTTAAATGCCACTCTGAAGAGGATGGAGCCAGGTAGAAAAGAAGTATATAACCTGACCCTTTAAAAGATACAATCAGTGTTGTGCTGGTAAATGTTTAACAACCAAGTTGGACCAGGTTGCCTTTGCCAATTCCGTGATGTAAATATCCCTACCTGATCAATGTCATGCTACCAGTGTGATGACCCTGGAGGCTCCTGGAGCCAGGTCACCACTGGACAAAATGGTGCTTAAGAGCCAAGCTCCGGTGCAGTGCCTGAGGCTTACTGTCCCACCTCCATTTCCCATCAATGGAGTTGAGTTATGATTCTGGGTTTTAGATTCCTTCCTAGGGGGAAAAAATGAGCCTATTTTAAGATTATTATGAAGAATAAATGAGGTGATGCATACAGGTATTTACACAGCAAAAGAAAATCAAGAATAGTGCACAGCAAAAGAAAATCAATAATTATTAGCTATTTGGGATGCTGTTACTATTGTCTTTGTAATTTCTATAATCTAAGAGGAAGAATGATTATGGTTTATTTTTGAAACAGTAGCATTATAAAAACAATTTTACATTTAACTGTTCAGTGTATCTGTGGTGGACCTTATTCTCTTTAATTAATATTTAAAATTCACCTATTGAGCCGGCCAGATAGCTCAACAGACTGAAGTGCCTGCTTAGCCAGGACACAGCAGCCGGGGTTCGATCCCGACATGCCGTGCCTGCTGTGCCACTGGGGTGCACTGAGACAGTGATTGAGACTGAACATGGTGGCACGCACCTGTAATCCCAGCACTTGGGAGGCTGCAAACAGGAGAATCCCTACAAGTCTGATCTAGTAGTGAGACCCCCATAGACCCTCTAGACCCTGTCTTAAATTCATTAAAAAATACATTAAATTCACCTATTAAAAAAGCTGTAGTTTCACTTAAAATTCAGAATGGTAGGATAAATCTCAGCACTTGGGAGGCTGACATAAGAGGATAATTGCGAGTTCAAGACCAGCTTGGACTACAAAGTGAGCCCAAGGTCAGAGTAAACTGCATAGCAAGACCCTGTCTCAAAAAAACAAAAACAAAAAGGTAGGCTATAGGGAAGAATCCTAACTGTGGCCCCACCCAGCTCTCACTGAGCCCCTGTCATGGTCCACCCTGATCCCACTGCAGACTCCTGAAGAGAAGGACAATGCCCAAGAGGGTCTCATACCCTCCATGTGGAAGGCTGCCGTCAGACTCACAAGCATCACACAAAGCTCACTTTGCTTTTTTGCTGACATCAGAAACACTATGTAGTCGATCCACTGACAAAACGTTGCTCATTCCCTACTGCTGCTTCTTTACTCCAAGACTTCAGATCTCGTGGAAGTTCCTGAAGAAGCCGACGGGCCAGGAGAGGGGTATGACCTCAGGAAACGCAGCAACAGCGGTAAGTGAGGACCTGCCTGACACCAATGTGATCAGGGTCAGTAGGCAGGCGAAGTCGATTTCCAGGCCCCTGTTTTTCTCTGCTAGCCCTGAAATCCAATCAGAGCAAGTGTTTTGTAGCCTGGGAAGAAACAGGTCTTATCTTCTGGCCAATTTAACTGATTTGACTCTAAGCATTCCCTGAATACATTCCTTGCATTCTCAAACTGCACAGAATCAGCCTGACTGAACATTAGGATTATGTCCAGATCTTTTTGTGAATGTGTTATTTCTCTACACACCTAAGCTAGATTTGAAAACCACACCACAGAGAAGCTACTTTGTGCTGCACCTGAGGTGCCCGAGGCCAGGTCTGTGTGAGGGGTGAGGAGTTAGCAGTGAGGGGAATGCAATTCTTGTGTTAGGCTTCTTCCCTGACACAAACAACTTAGACTCTCAAAAACTGACATGTGTAACCCAGCTAAGCATTCTTCATCACTATGATTTGTCTTGTAATAACTAGATCCCTTATCAAAATATCTTCTAAAACATTTATTAACTGCTAACTATAGTATTGAGTGCTAATACGTAAGAAAGAGCCACTTTGCCCAGGTTACAGACACACAGCCAAGCCTGTACAAATCACTTCTTGTTAAGCTTTCTTGACATTAACAGACACTTACTATCACTTATTTATTAACCAAAAAATTAGGAAGGACTTAGTATCACCAGCAAAATATCAGCCACAAAACTTGTGCTCACGGTGTTCCCAGTCTAGCAAGGGTACGTATAGGTCCTGCACTGTGCTCAGATGAATACTTTTTTGTGGCAGAAGTGGCACCTCCAGAATCCAGGCTCTGCAAACCAAGCACAAAGAAGTTGTAGATCTTCCAGCTGACTAGACCTTCTTTCCTTTTCCAACCAAGGCCAAAGTTTTACAGTCCTAAGTGCATAACTGCTTTGTCAGGAGCTGTCTTACAAGGGATGGCTTCTACTTCCTTCACTCTGGAATTCACTCGCTTCTTACTCTAGTCAGGGCTGTGTCTGTGTGAATCTCACCAGACACCAGGTACTTGGCAGCCCCTGTGCCACTCCTGCCTCAATAAGCCCTGGGGTCACCACAGTCCCTTTTGCCAAGCACTTGCTAAACCTTGCTGCTGCAGTAAGGATTCTTCAGCACCACATAAAGGAAACTTTACATTTAGGTCACTGCAAGCATTTGTTGAAATTTTAGCAGTACTAATAGAAAAACAAAATAAGGGGTGTTGGCTTCCAGAGAAACCTCCTGGAAGGCAGTGACCCTGCAGGGATATCTTAGCAAAATCAATCTGGAATGATTGCAGATTTCAGATTTCAGTGATTTCAGTCCAGCAACTGAATTTGGCCAGCCACTCCAAAGTTCAGCCTCTGAGAAGCACACAAGAGAGTAAAATATACATCAGAGCTTGTTTCTGCTTCAGGACTTCTCCACTGCTGAGCCCTGAGTCTGGCTTCTGCCCTCATGTTCCCCTGACACAAGGCTCAGACATTGCTAATGGCTCTTCACCACTAACAGTCCTGGGTGTGTGGCCCTTGGCACATTCTTCTCTAGAGGCAGATAGTCAGACTTCGCTAAATGATGCTATGACCTTGAAGCAGTGACTTAATCTCTATATCTCATCCTCCTGTTGCCTAAATGAAAATAATAACACCAGATCTGTAAGGTTGCTGTTATCTTTGTAAGAAATAACAAACATACTTTCCACACATTGATAATCCCCAAACTGCACCTCCAGCATTAGGTTTCTCGCTGCCTCAGATGTCTGTAGCCTAAGAACAGTGGCCCTCTGAGTGTACCTCAGGCACCACAGAGCTCACACACAGGGTGAGTCACCCACACTCCCAAACTAGCTCTTCCCACAGTTGACCCTACTCAGTAAAGGGAACTTCATCTGACAAAGGTGTTAATCCAAAATCTTGTATCAACCCTGATTCCTCTTTCTTCTCACATCTCATTATCCAGTCTGTCAGAAAACCCTAACAGCAGCTGCCTAGAATTATGCTCAGCAAACCCTATCATTAACTCCCAGTCTCAGCCATCCTGGGTGTCCCCCAGTGCCATTGTCAGACACTCAGTACTTAAGGCTTCTGTTCACCCTGGGAATTTCTCATCACTAAAGCTTAACAGCCTAGGTTGTATGTTAATAACAATAAGCTTGTCTTCTGGAGGATTAACAACCTAATTTTGTAGACCAAAATTAGAGAAAAAAGAGGGCCTCAAGGAAAGTCAACATTTTGGCCCTTGCCTTCCAAGGTCAATTAAGACTCAGGACATATGACAACTTGTACTGTAATGTCACGTAACTCAGTAGTGTCCCAAATTTTCTGATCAAGGAGATTATGGGGCCAAAGAGGAAAGTGATTAATGATGTAGAGTGTGCCTAAGGAGAGTCACATGGAGAGAAAACATTCTCTCAGGCTTTCACAGAGAGCACATTGGCCAAGCA